TTTAAATTCTTTAAAATTTTTTTTTACTTAAAATAATTATTTATTTATTTTATAGTATCATTTAGAAATTGTTAAAATAATAATAATAATTAATTATTATAATTTTGATTTTATAAAGCGATTTACCTTAAGTTGATTCAAATCAAATCAGGTTAAAAAAAAAATTATTTCAATTTTATTAGCTCAACCAACAGACTTTATCAAATTATTCAAATTGATCTAGTAGATTACCCAGTATGATGCCTTTTCTTTATATTGAACCAAAAAAAAAAAAATTAGTCACTCATTTGTTTTCAAGAGAGTTTTGTGGGAATATCTTGTATGCATCTATCATTTTCCAAAAACAATACGTAGAATCACTAATCATGTAAAGATAAAAAAAAAAAATTGTCATATTGTCACGCAAGATGCAATTTGATCTAGTTGTTGTTCAAAGTTTCTATGGCCTACATTTACTTCACTGGTATCGGATAGGGACAGTCTGGCATGAAAGAGATCATAAAGAGTGAATCCTTTGGGCCCAAAATTATTACATTAAGTCATTAATAATAAGCAAGCCTCCAAAGTCATTAAGTCATTATTACATTGTAAGTCATTAATATTTAATAATAAGCAAGCCTCCAAAGTTATTTCCTTTTCTATGTGTTGGGTTTAGGGTTTCTCCCGTGAGCACTTGTAGTCCTGCTGAGAAGTGGATGAGAATTGAGAACTTCACAATCACACACAGAAATTTTTGAAGCTCACTTCTTCATAACGTGTAATCGAGATGATGATTTGATTTGTACTCGGAATTGTCGTTTCCCTTATGACTACTTTATCAGGATTCCAAAGATTCCCTTTTTGTTGTCTTCTGCAGCAAAAGTATAGGAGTGAAGCTTCACCACCTCTTCCACCTTACCTTGTCAAGGTCATTATCTAGTTACTTGTTGCACACTGTATTATAAATCAACACCACCACTTGCATTGTGGGATCCACTAAATTTTATTATATACAAAAATCTAAAAATTTGGACAAGTATTTTTAACTTCTAATACGCTATTAGAAAAATATTATTTTGTTGATAATATTTATACAATGCTCATTATTCACATATTATATACAATGCTAAATTGTGATACAAATATTTTATTCTTTGTGAATATAAACCAAAAGTAATAATGTTACATTTTTTTGGTAGGGGCAAAATTTTGTAAATGTTGTTAAGCTCCCGATTTGAGATTAGTCTCGTGACCGGCTTAAAGAGTTGAAGATTGTGAGAATATCTGAAAAATTTACTTGTCTCAAAAAAATAATTAATATCGGTATATCGAAAAAATAAAATAAAATAAAATAAAAAGACTCCATTCAAACATTTAAATTGCATAAAACAAAAATGTAATCAGATACCTAAAATGCTTAAATATGTGTGCATGGCTGTTAGTGAGATTATAGCTAGGACTAGGAGCCCATTCCTCCACCATCACACCAAAAAAAACGAAAGTTGGTGGTACACTTTTTGGTATATTAGAGGTATTAGGTCTAAGAAATAGTAACTGACCTCAACATATAAATTCTAATGAGATAATTTAGCCGAAGAGTACCACAGTAATTAGAAGCATGTCCCAAACAATGCTCACCCACATGAAAGGAGTGATAATAATTGGGTAACTAATGACTTGAACATTCCAGCTTCTGTTCTGGAGTTCCTTGATCAAAGTGATCTTGAACCTCAATGGGTGTGAGATGGTCCACATCCCTCCCTGGTGCACTATTTATAAAAAAAAAGCTAAGCCTTCGAACGGTAGATGATATGGGCCTCCGTTGATTGGACTTAATTAACGGATAACAGAGATATTTGTCCATATCAACTGGACCCCTGGTGGCTGGACAGTGGACATTACGCTACATTATCCAACGCAACCTCGAAGAAAGAAAAAGAGAAAGAGATCGACACTAAGAAGGGGAGTTTCTATAAAATGTTTTCATTTATTTTTTCTCAAGTTTTTTTATGATAAGGTTACTTTTTTAAAAAGATGTTAATTCGATGGTTTACTTCAATACAAATTTTGTTCAATATATTGAGAAGGAAAATTAAATAACTATAGAATTAATCAATTATTAGAATTTTATAATTTTGTTAAGTAAAGTACTTTGCATTCTGCAATTTATTTATATGAATTAAAATATTTTAATATTCACATATTTCCAGCGATTTATTCACAAAATATTTTTTCACCTAAATCTCAAAAACCTATTCTGCTAAAGGTTAGATTTTATATATTTTTACATAATATGTTTCATAAACATTTTCATGTTTATTAACCGATGTCTTGCATTTTTTCGTTGCCAAATTGGCAATGATTTGCACATTTTAAGAATGTAATCTTTTATTTATTTCATAATTATCCTTATATATTTTAAACATAGGTAACTCTTCATCGGAATAAATCTTGAAATTTAAAATGACAGAAATCGTATTAATTTTTATTTGCAGATCCTATCATTTTGTTCACGAAGGCTATCCTGATAGGCGAGACATGGGAAAGCTTTTATGAGTTTACCTTATGTTTCAGAAATCAAAGATTCCATCATTTAATTGACCTCTCATGACCATTCCTGCCGTGTTTCACACGTTTACTTCTCGTCCGAACAGTGGATATATATATAGTTCAACGTTACGTGTATGCCATCTAATTCAATCTTAAACAATTATATATATATATATATATATATATATATATATATTAAATTATAGTATTTTTTTTCTTTATATTATTAATGACACATATTATTTTCAAATTTGAGTTTATTTAAGTTAATTATACATTTATATAATTTTAAATTTGTTTTTGAATTTTTTATATTATACTTAAATTAATTATACACACTTCAGTTATAAATTTAAAAAATTTGCTCATAAATATTCATAATTTATATTACTTGCATTTTACTTAAATTTAAAGATGTCTTAGTTGTTTTGTTAATTCACACGTCATTTGCACTTATTATATTTCATTGCTTAATTCTAGATCATTAATTTCCTGCTTTTTAATCCGGTTCCCCAGTTAGATCACTTGTAGAATCACATGGAGGAGAGTCACAAGGAAGAAATGCATGCTTTCACTCTATCTTATTGGTAATTTTTCTTTTAATTTTTTTTGGTTAATTTTGAAAGTATTCTGTTTTGTTATTTGTTTGTGGTTTCTAGTGTTAACTTTTGAGCTATGAGTCTTATCTATCATTGTTTAGTTAGAATCTGCATACCTTTCTCAAGTTAAAGCTGGTTTACATCCCATTATGCTTAGGAAAACGCATATATGTTTGGAAACCCATGACAAGCATTTTTCAGATTAGACCCCACTGCAAAGTGCAAACCTGAATAATATCTGTCTGCCTGCTGTAGTTCTTTCTATCTCATTTAAAAATTATTATTTTAGAATTTAAATGAAAAAGGTTTTTAGCTATATATTTAGGGTTTTATTAATCTCACGTTAAAGGAGATAGTTATCTCATGTCATAGAGATAAATTTGTGAGCTCTACCACTTGAAAAAATAAAATAAAAGAAAAAGGTGGCACAGTTATTGAATGGTGTGTAGGAGAAAAAATGTATTTTATATAACATAAGAATAGTTTTTCCCATATATCTATTCAGTAATCTATAGATTTTGATTATTGTATAACAAATTTAAACACAAAAAAATGTTCATAAAAAAATTGAATTGGCAATAAAACAGAGGCTACTGCAAAAGCAAAATAATTTTCTTCAGCATTTTTGTTTTTTAACTTTTCAAAACAAGTGGTCAAAATTAAGTTGGGTCTAAAGTCTAAACAATCAATTGGTATCTTAAAAGGCGTGATGCAAAACAACACTAGTAGATCACCTCATTTCACAAGTCTATATAAAAGTAGTAGGAAAGGAAGGAAGCATCCATCGGATGTCTTTGAATCATGTAAATTTTCCTTGTTGGGTTTCTTTTTCCTCCAAAAATGGAATGGAAGGTAAAGGAAAGAGAAAGCACCCGAGCGTATGGCACAAACAAAAGTATTCAAAATATTTTATTAGTAGTTTTAAAATTCTAGAGGGGTAAGCGGTTACTTTCATTCTAAGGTCATCATATATTAGTAAAACTTGATTGTTCATTCCAAGGTCATCTATGACTCTCAATGAAGATTGATTGTTTATTAATAAAACTTGACGGAAATTTTTGGGTTGAGAATTTCATAACAATAATTATTTAATGGGTTTAATATTTATGTTTTTATTACAATTTTTTTTTATCACATTTACACAAAAGTGAACGAGTCTTATTAATTTTTTTTTGCATATTTTTACAATGAGATCCACTCACTTTTATATAAATGTAGTATTAATTTTTTTTATAACAAAAATAGAAATATTTTTTCATTATTTAATGTAATTAAAAGAGTACAGTACTTTTTGAAAACAAATGTAGAATCTAGAAACATTAAACTCAATTAAAATTTGTGTTTATTTAAAGAAAATTTAACACAAGAAAAGCAAAGACTGAAATTTGAAGAATCCCATGTGACTTGAGAGGCAGGCATCTGACGCAGGTTGAGGGCCCCACCCTTACACTGCATTAAAAGAAGTTAAAGGGTCAACTCTCTCTGTGTGCCTCTCTGTCGCCAACTGACCTTTACCCCATTCTTAGCTTTCGTCTTTCCCATCAAAAATCCAACGGCTCTTACAACCTTTTGACCTTCCCACCATCTCTCTCTCTCTCTCTCTCTTAATCGTCCTATTTGTCTTCAACCCACTCTATCCCGTTAAGGGGACCCACCTAAAGAGAGATGGGTCAATGACCTAAGAAATTTCCACGTGGAGAGAAGCTATTCGTTGTTGGGTTTGACCCTTTGCATCTCCCTTTGACTAAAACGGTTTCTTTCTCAATTCCTTTCTTTTAACTCCTTTTATCCTTTCCCTCTTATTCGTCTACAACCATCTCACAACACCCAAAAGAAATAAAAAAGATTCAACCCCATGATTATTCTCCCGCAACCAATCTTCAAGCACACAAAAAAGGCTCATTTGAAAAGAAAAATTTAATTTTTTTTTCTTTCTTTCTCTTTCACTCTTTTGTTGATGGTATTGGAACCATGGCTGTGGAGCTTATAACGGGTTATGGGGGTAATAGCTTTGCAGGCAACAATGATTTTGCAGTGCAGCAAGCAGCTTCTGCTGGCATTCATAGCGTTGAGAAGCTCATGAACATGATTTCTGAACAGAAGAATCAGCAGCAACAAGCCAATGAGTCATCATCATCAAAGGATGAGTCAGAATTCGGAGCTGTTGCAGATGTTGCTGTAAACAGGTTCAGAGAGGTTATTTCTCTCCTTGACAAGCCAAGAACCGGTCACGCTCGTTTCAGAAGAGCCCCACCAAGTGTTCCACCTGTTCCTCTTCTTCAATTGCAGCAAACGGTGGATTCAAAACCCAAAAAAGACATGCTTTCTCTTCAGCACCCACACCCACAACAGCACAAAACAGAACAAGTCTCTGCTTTTAAAGCTTATTGCCCTCCTCAGAACCCTTTCACGCTCCCTCAGCAGCGTTTACCTTTACCACCAGCGAAGAATGAAACAAATGGTTCTATTAAACTTTCTGCTTCTCCATCAGTTTCTGCTGCCAAATCCTATGTGTCTACGTTATCTGCAGACAGCGAAAGTTTGCAACAGCAATCTCGTTCCTTCGGGTTCCAAATTACTCACGTGTCCCTGCAGGGGTCTTCTTATATGCGTAAACCACCACTGTCTTCAACTTCTTTGAAGAGGAAGTGCAATTCCATTGATTTTCCTGCAATCAAGTGTGGATCATCCTCTGCGCAGTGTCATTGCCCCAAGAAAAGGTATGCTAATGATGCTATACTTGTCATAATTTTTTTTTTGTTTGATCTTAGCATCAATATTGTCACTTTTTCATTACATTACATATGGCATATATATAATATAAAGTTTAAATGATGCAGGAAATTCAAGTTGAAGAGAGTGATTAGAGTTCCAGCTATTAGTTCTAAAACTGCTGATATCCCACCTGATGATTATTCGTGGAGAAAATACGGACAGAAACCCATCAAGGGTTCTCCCCATCCGAGGTATCTTAATATATTCTCTTTGCCTATGTTTATGTGCTTGGAATTTATTAAAACATATATCTCATTCAACACATAAAAAAATAGGCAGGATTCATCAAAGAGAAAAAAAAGAAAGAAAATAAGTGAATCCCATCAAATTTTTTTGTTTTGTATACTGCATGCATGAGACAAACAACACTAGAAACTATATTCACATATAATAATGTTGGTGGCTATTTATATTCTCTGAAATATTGTTAATTTGTTATGGACATTGTCATTTCAGAGGTTATTACAAGTGTACGAGCGTGAGAGGGTGCCCGGCACGCAAACACGTGGAGCGTGCTTTGGATGATTCAAACATGCTCGTTGTCACCTACGAAGGAGATCATAATCACTCGCTCACATCTTCTGAGGTGGCAAATGCTGTTGTCCTTGAATCATCTTAGGCTCGATTGGTTGATCCAACTGCTGATAATCTTTCACAAGTTTTTGTTCTCACCCATGCCATGCACTAGTTCGTCTAAAAATTATTTAATTAGCTTTGTGATTAGTCAACGCTCAGACTATGTGGCATGCTTAATTAATTAGCTTATATATGGGATTTCTTATGGTCTATGTCTTTTTATTTTATTTTTTGAAATACTTAAATACAAGAAGAGTACTGGTTGGTCTTTGTTATATATTTTATAGAGGAAGGGTAAAGAAATTGAACAACATTGATATGTTGAATTCAGAAGAAGTTTGATATATATGCAAGGAGCTTTTGGTTTTATGGCTATTATTTACCTTGATTTGATATGTCTTGTTTGCTCCTTGTGCGAATTTGAAAATGGGGACAAGAGAACAGGAAGGTATACAGTCACGGCCCCAACGGCTGGAGAAAAATGTTGCATTGCTTCGATTTGATGAGTGGGTTTCGTGTGCTTTAAGTTTTGAAAGTTGACGAGGAAACCTCATTGGTGAGGCACGCGTTATTCTATTTTTGCTTATTACGTTTGAATGAGAAAGAAGCAATGGATGGGTTTGAGAATTTTTTGACAACCTAACGAGAGGTTTATTGACTTTTGAGGATACTGATTCGACCTAGATAGGGAACAAATAACAAAGTCAAAAAGATGATTTAGGAGTTCCTACTCTCGGTTGGTTGAATCTTAAATTTTTTGTTACGACTATATCATAGGTGACGTTGGTTTTGGTTTAACACTCTTTCGCAGGGAAAAGCACCGTTTTGAAGTTTTTGGACAAAAGAATTGCCCGGTTAAAGCTGATTGGATAAGTTTTTCCAAAGTAATGCAGTCAAACATGTCACCTATGCTGACGGGACTAGTCCCGTCACTGATACTGACGGGACTCGTGCCATGTCAGCGCCACGTAGGCAATCCAATTACCGTAAATCTTCGGAAGACCATAACTTGTGACTCGGGTATTCAAATCAGATGATTTTTTTTTTGATTTCACATAATTTTTCGAGATCTACGCAATGATACCTCGTTTGACATATTTTATCTCCCACAAACATAATTTGAATTTGTAACAATTGTATCACAATCACAAGAGTGTTTATCCATAAGACTATGTTTGTGGGAGATAAAATATATCAAATGAGGTGTCATTGCGTAGATCTTGAAAAGTTATGTGAAATCAAAAAAAAAATCATCTGATTTGGATACCCGAATCACAAGTTATGGTTTTCCGAAAATTTACGGTAATTGGACTGCTTACGTGGCGCTGACGTGACACGAGTCCCGTCAGTATCAGTGACGGGACTAGTCCCGTCAGCATAGGTGACATGTTTGACTGCATTACTTTGGAAAAACTTATGCAATCAACTTTAACCGGGCAATTCTTTTGTCCAAAAACTTTAAAATGGTGCTTTAGCCCTCTTTCGCATCATTGCGTGGACTTTTTACAGTTTTTTTTTTGTATTTTTGTTGCGTTAGTACTAACACCAAAACTGGGACCTGTCGAAAAATTAGAATTATATTTTAGTATCTGATGAGTATAAAATGTGTTCTATGGTAATACTGTTTGATTTCGTTTGCAATTCCTTATTTTTCTGGTAATAAAAAGGACCAGATCTCATTTAATTTGGAATTCTAAATTAAATCGGACTTTTTTAGTCTGAGTATGCAATTATATTAAAAATTTGGTAGAGGTCTTGTCCAATTCGACCGGATTAATTGATGAATCGGCATATAAATCTTTAAAAAAAAAACTATGTAAATATATGCTATTTGCAAAAAAAAAAACTCATAATAAAATATGAGTTTAATGTTTCTGCTTTTGTTGTAGAATTTTTTTTCTATTACATCACATAAAAATGTGGTCCCATTACAAAGAGAAGAGAGAGAAAATATTTTGTGAAACTCATTCACTTTTATGTAAATGTGGCAACTTTTTTTTTCTTATAGCAAAAAGCAAAAATATTTTCCCAATAAAATATTTGCTTGTCATTTTCTTTAGGGCTAGTAGAAACCGTCGCGTCAAAGTAGGAATATCCTCCAAAATCCAATGAATTAGGATTAGATCCTCATTGAGCTACTGGGCTGGTGCCACTTGACGATCAAAGCCCGATTCACTTTTGATTAGACGAATTCTTGTGGTAGGCCCACAAGATGTTTAGGACTTAGAATCAAGCTTAGAAAATTGTAGTGTAACATGGGGAATTTGGAAACTTTTCAGCCAAATGGGAAAAACGAACAACGATGAAAGAAAAAAAAAATTGTTGGATTAATAACATGGAAAGGTGTTCCAGATGCTTTAGCTCGAGGTGACTCGAACCTGCCTGAAGGCTCAAAAGTTGGTCCATTGCGGCAGCGAAAGTATTTGTAAATTGTATAAGCATTGTAATACCCAACTCAAAATATGATGGAGAGTGAACAATAAACATGTATACAAGGGGTGCACAATAGACAATAAAATACAAAAGAGAGAAAATATAAAAAATTAAAAGGATGAACAATAACATTTATATGCAACATTGACCAAAATGCCATTGTTCACTCATTTTTTTATCCAAATATCGCGCGAACAATGATATTTTTCAATATGCCACGCATGCAAGTTCGCTATAGTGCATAGCGAACTGGGTTTGTTGATGTGACGCGTTTCTATGTTGCAATTATTGTTGACACATTGGCAGAACACGTAGAGAAGTTCGCTGTCATATGCAACGATGGCAGCGAACTAGGTGTGCCATGTGACTGAATCTAACCTACTTCGCTGAAGGTCCAAGCGAAATATGTGCCACGTGGCACCTCCCTGATAGTTCGCTGTAGGGGCAAACGAACTAGGTGCCAAGTGGCAGCACCTGACCAAGTTCGCTGTACCCTGCTGCGAACTAGGTGCCACGTGGCAGCTCCCCACTAGTTTGCTATATGGGCCAGCGAACTAGCTGCCGACAGTTACAGTTTGTTAATATGTATAGCGAACTCAGTGCTATTTATACCCCCACCCAACTCCCACCTTCAATTTGTTAATCTGGTGCGTTGTTTTCCAAAGAATCCCAGTTTTTTCTTCTTGTTCTTTATATTTTGTATTTCATATTTCACGACATAATGAGTGAGAGTAGCAATGTTTTAATCGCCATTTTATATTACAATGGGAGGAGATATTTTGGATCGAACGGTCAAGTGTTTAAAGGAGATACGAAGATGTTCATCAGAAACGACTGGATGTCCTCAGGTATGTCAAGGTGATTGTGTGTAGCGGTGTGTCTGACATTAAGCACACAATAACATATATCTAGGTCCTCAGATGTGTTCCACACATGAGTGGAAATGTGTTTCTCCTACAACTTGAGGAGAGAACGGTCGGAAGGACCAGGGTCGATCACACTCTGGTGCGGGTTGTGCTGCTCAATGGATCTATTTATATAAAAAAATTATATTACAGTTACAACATTACAAATTACAATAAGATTATATATAAACATGGACGGTATCGTAAGAGACGAAAACAAAATGTTAAACATATCCTATTACCTAAGAGACCTAAAATCGTAATTATTAAAATAAAAACAAATTTTTTTTCTAACCTAAGTTTTCTACCTATAAATCAATAATATCAAACAATTAATATTATTATATAATGCATAAATAAATAAATATTCAATACTAACTTTAACAACATTAATATACATAGCTTCTAACCTACGGTCTGAAAAAAAATTAATAATTCTTTTAACCTAAGTTGTCTACCTATAAATAAATAATATGACACAATTAATATTATTAAATAATGCATAATCAAAAAATTATTAAATACAAACTTTAACAACATTAATATAATATTCTTCTAACCTAAGTTTTAAACCTTATAACTAAATAATATTGCACAATTAATATTACTAAATAATGTATAATTAAAAAATTATTAAATACTAAATTTAACAACATTAATATAAAATTCTTCTAACCTAAGTTTTCTACCTATAAATAATATTATACAATTAATATTATTATATAATGCATAAATATATAATACTAAACCTAATAACATTGACATACATATTCTATCCTATTGTCCAAATAATAAAATTAATCTTCTAACTTAAGGTTTCATCTTATAAATAAGTTATATCAAATAACTAACCCTAAAAAACTGCAAAAAAAAACAATATTGAAATTACTAACCTTGTTAATGTAGAGAGAGATATAGAATGAGAGGGAAAAAGGAAAGAGTGAGAGTTAAAGGGAGAAAAGTTTGGGGTGGGGGGAATGGTGGAGGCTGGTTTATATAGGATAGGGATGGGTAGCCGTTGCTCCAAGTTCGCTACCCACCCTAGCGAACTTGGTGCATGTCAGACATGTGGACTACTAGTCGTTACACATAGTTCGCTGCCTACTGCAGCGAACTTTGTTGTATGTCTGCCACGTGGCATGGCATGCGGAGAGTGCAGGTCCATTAATTGTAACGAAGTTCGCTACTGGGAGTAGGGAACTTGTTGTCCACCAGAAACGTGCCACATTAGCAAACCAAATTCGGTGGGCACTATAGCGAACTTGCACACGTGGCATATTGGGAAATAACACTGTTCGTGTGACATTTGGATAAAAAGTGAGTGAACAGTGACATTTTGGTCACTGTTCCCATTAATATAAAGGGTGGGTGAGGTTCCTATCTCGAGGTGCGTTTTTTCAATACAAGAAGGGGTCGAAGTTCAAAAGAAAGCAAAAACTAAAGGGTTAAGACGCTAGCATCTAACACCAACAACAACCCCATACCAAGAGGGAAATCCTGATGTATAATCAAATTATCATTTGAATCACAAGGAAATTTTGCCAACCATTCAACACTCTTGTTCCTCTTTCTTATAACATGAATAAACTGGACCTCCCAATCTCTGGAACACCACTCCAAAATGCAGTTCACCATGCGAGGAGCAGACCCTAATGCATTCTCAGTGCTAAACGCCTTTAATTGCTAAAGCATAATCACTTTTGATAATAAAGTGAGTCACACCACAGTCCTATGCAATCTGAATTCCAATGAGGATCACCCAAAATTCAGCAATCAGAGTAGTGCATATCCCAATCCCATAAGTAGAACCCTTAACCCAGGCTCCTTTAACATCCCTTACAAGACCACCACACGTCGCTCTATTGGAGGTTTTCATTACCGTCCCATTTACATTTAATTTCCAAAAACCTAAGGGAGGTAGAGACTAAGTCTCATGAACGGGGAAAACAT